AAACAAGATAATGTGTACAAGAGAGGATATCTGGGCACTGAGAGTAGTTAGTGACAGCCTTAGACCTCTGCAATTGGAAATCTGTGGCAAGGGTAGCAGGAACAAAAGTCCCCTTATGCAGTAAAACTCATTAACAGGAACTTATAAGTCAAGTGAGAAGGATAAATCTTGAGAGGTAGAAAAGCCAGAAGATAGCAAAGTTTTGCAGTAAAGAACATTTCCTCCACTAACTAGCCAAGGCAGCACCACACAGCAAATCAGATTCATTCAAGTCAACTGACCAAATAAAGTAAGACTCATTTGCCTTTATATAAAAGAGTGAACTTTAAAGTAACGTATGAAAAAGCTTTTCAAAATTCCTGTGTAAGTGAAAGTTAGACTAAATCTAGTCTAGAACTAAAGATGGTTGCAAAGCCTTTCTGCAATGAGGAAGCAGCTGAGACTTGGTTACGGCAACTGCGAGCACAAACAAAAGTTAGGCTGTTTCCCAGCTCTGATTCATTTGGTTTCATTTATAACAGACCTTTTGGACAGTTGGTCAACATGAAAAGCCTTTACAAAGTTTTAAAACTATTTAATAGCTTTATCCCTGCAGTAAGTGCTGCCTAACAAACATGAAGTCATTTTCATGCTACTAAGCAGGTAGGAATTCAGTAAGTTTATTCTCTTTTCTTAAACTGACCCATGAATGATAAATGGCCATCAGCAACCACATAAAAAAAGCTGCTTAACCAGTTTCACACCTATAGAACCCGATGAAATTATTTAGAAAGATTCATTATTTTAAGTAGGAACTGCCAGACTACTTTCCAACAAAGTCATCTGTATTCAGACATCTCATTTCCTGTACCCTATTTGTTTTAGTTCTTTAGGCAGCTGTCAGTGCAGTGAACAAGAGCAGCTGTGGTTTCCTGTTAGTGCTGGCCACTGGCATGCAAGTCACTGCACAAGCAAAGGAAAGAGTGATCTGACTCACAGCATTACTTCAGCTACCAGGCAGCATCAGTCCAGTTGTACAAATACTACATTTGGATTGTAAGCACCTTGAGTTCCAACACAAGAAAACTGCTTATCCTGTGTTCTCAATGGGATGAGGAGGCATCTGACTGATTTTTCCCTTCCAGAGAACAGTTGCATTGCAGAAAATGGAGTCTTTAAAATGTGAATATACTGTGAGACCTACCACTTAAATGGGGATATTCATGACTGTTCTGTAAAGATTCCTAAACCACAAAACAGAAGCACACAAAAGGAAAAAGAATTACCACTTTCTCGAGTTGCAAAGGTTTGCAACCCCAAAGTAGAATTAAGGATTGACTTCTACATTAATAGGTAAGTGCCACATTATTCAATAAGAAATGTTATTTCTGGGTTCACTGAGGAAGGTGAAAAGCCCCCACAAGAAAGCCCCCCTGAAAAGAAAGCATGTTTCAGTACCTAGTGCCTCTTTTCTGGAAAAGAACTTCTCTTGACCCAAAGCAGAATCACCTGCACTATCATGTAGTGACAACTATATCCAACACAGCCAAGCTGACTTGTGTTCTTACACCTGCTCTGGGGGAAGAGAAGAAAGTAGGATAAGCCATTAAACAACCTCCTATTTTCATGAACAATGCTTTAGATTGTTAGAACTAGGGTACTAAGAGCATTGTAGTTCTTGAATAGAAATGTGACGGTCAAGTATCCCACCAAAGTGTAGAAATTTGCCAATCCAAAAACCATAAGACTGATCCTGAATTTGCCCTCATCTGGCTGTGTCAGAGAAGCCAGCAGAGAAGGAGCTGCAGAAAGGCTACTAGTCAAGGAACTGATCATGTCTACCAGCAGATATCATCTGCACACACATGAGAGATTTATAAAGATCAACCTTGCATTTAAAAGTTTGGCCCTTTCCATATTTGGGCTGGACCACTAAGCAGGGATTGAAGTTTCACTGCAAAAGAGAATGAGCAGCCAAAGAATTTAAAGATGATATCCATGACAGAAGGAACATAATCTAAATGCTATACTGTTAGCTACAAACAATTAGTAGAAACAGAAGATGATGCTAAAGTGCAGATAATTAAAATGTTCATCTAGATTCTGTTTCCTTAAGTAATTCAGCTGACCTCAAGTTTAGAGCATTTAAATCAAGGTTTTAAAATTTGATTTACAGTATAAACTCTTCATTAGTTCATGGTTAAATCTGTAAACGTCCTTATGAACAAAAAGGTATTCAGAAGTAACATACAATCACTAATGCAGTATTTTGGTATGGATGTACAAAAAGAAATTAGGAACAACTAATGGAAGGCAGCCCATAAAGGCCTAGAAGTATTTGTTTTCCTACATTCCATACTTGAATCTTAAAGTGTACTTTGATAATTTGTCTAATCTGCATACAGAACAGTATTTTAGTGTTCTCTAAACAGCATCTCTTATCCTTCAGTTTATGTAAACCTCAAGAAAGACAAGAAATGAGCTTTTAAAGCACAATGCTCCTTGAAAGAGTGACAGATATGACAAAGCACCCCGATTTGCTAGTGATTACCTAGCAGTAACTAAACACTATCTAACAAAATACACATCCTAAAAACAAGGCAAAAAAAAAAAAGCAGAATGGGGAACCTCACTTTACCAAATTTTACTTCTCAGGAAGCGCAAAGTTAAAGGTCACAATTCTGCATCTGAAAAGATCTGGAAGCTGTGTTCCTCCTCCTATTCTCCAAGCCTCCTGCTTGCCAACTCACCCCTTCTTTTAAAGGGTGGCCTTATGTCCCTTGCTGTTTCTGCACGGTGAGAATCACTTACACTGGACTCTGGAGTCCACAGTGTGTGGGACACTCACTTCAGCCTGTTTTCCCATTTCATACTATTGTATGAATTTCGGGTTGTATTTCATTGCATTTGTGCTTTTATTCCTGCAGAATCTACTAGGATTCTAGTTTAAAAATCCCTTTTAGACAAAAGCTCAAGTTGTTGGTGCATTTTGGGTGGATCAAATGTACTCTAAATGCTGAAATATGTTTACCACTCCTTTGCAGTTTAAGTAGAAATGTTCTACTTCCTCACACTTTTTTTTTCATAGCAGGTTTCAAGCAGTTGATCAACTCTTAACATGCATCCCATTTAAATTTAGTGGGCATCCAAGATCTGTCATCTGATAGTGGGCAAATTCCTAGAGAGCATTAGAAGGTGAAATCTATTAAAGATCTGAAATCTATTAAAGATGCTGAAGAATAGAAATATCATTTGCAATTCCTTCCCTAAATCCACAGGGGGTAGGGAGCAGCAGAAGAAGAAAGGGACAGTCTGTTGAGACTTCCTCTTTCCTTTAGCTGTCATTTTCAATTGCCTTGAAATTTACAGTTGTAACTTTCCATAAGTGCTCCACAGTTTGTTGCAGTGTCAGTGCAGACAGGCATAACAAATGCCACCAAAAATCAAGAATTCTGTTGAGGATTTAGAAGTGTAGGTATCAGAACAGAGGATGTCCAATCAGCCACCTGGTGGGTTTTGTTAATGTACAGTGTTATAAAACACTGTATAATTGTTTTGTTGTGAAAACACTAATTCCTTCAGTCCTGAGCAATAACAATGTGAAATATTAGAAGCCATCATATATTATCTCATTACTTTGTTTGCCACTGAACTGTATTTTGTTATACAAGCAGGGATCTTAAGAGTAACACCGGCTGTACAGCAAAGGACTTTTTCTAAGCAGCAGCAAAGAGTAACTTAACTTCAGCAGTGACAAAACAGCAGTGTAATAACCATCAGTATTTTAAAAGAAATTATAGTAATGGCAGAGAAACAGCAGCTCCACAGAGTAAGCTTCAGCCACGCCCAAGCTGAGACTCTGATGCTGGTCATTCTTTTATCAAGTAAACACCCCAAGTTGAGTTAGCCTCTTTTGGGTAAGAATTAAACATGTCACAGGACACTCACTACATATTTGATTTTGGAATGTTAGGAATGACATTAATAGGACAGACTATTTGTGCTGCAAAGAGACAAATCCCCATGTCACATATACACACCAGCTGAACTGTCACAGTTACCTAAGAACACCTTTCCTACCCTAGTCCTGAAGTTAGAGGTCTTCATTGATAAGAAATCATTTGCTTTCTGTAACCATCATTATCTACCACAAAGCTGGTCTCCATTGAAGAAAAATAAATGTGTTTACAGACTATAGAAGCTCTGGTTTGAGCCACAGTCCTGAAATGGTTTCCAATACCTAACTGTCCATCCACATAGATCAGCGATCTTAAATTATGCTGGAGGACATCTGTACTTGTTTTTCAAGGAAATACCATCTATCCCAGACTAAAAGGGAGTTTGATTCCTCTGAGATCACAGCCGATCCCACCAGAGCCCAGCGGGATTCACCCTCCCGGTCCCTTGGCATGTGTTGGTGTCACCTATGCCGAGCTAGGCACTCCTAGAAAAATCACTTTTGTCTTCCTGTGTATCCAGCCGGTATCTGGCTACACAGTTAACTTGTTATCAAAACTTGTTATTTCTCCCTTTGCTGTGTGAGCATTCGGATTTCGCCAACACAGCAGGTAGAGCGCTAAGGGACAGCGGCTCCTCCAGCTCCCGACTCAAGAGCGGGCACTCCCAGCGTGCTGTTCTCACGTTTCCCAACACACACTACCGAGGTCTGAGTCACACCGAGTTAAAATCCGGCGGGCGCTGCCCTCGCACCGCTCTCCTCGCCCCGGGCCAGCCCGGCGGCGGCTGCGGCCAAAGGCCCGGCCGTGAACCACCCGGGCCCGGGGTCACCGCGGCGGGGCGCGGGGCAGCGCGGGGACGCGCTCTGCCACCTGCCTTCCCCTGGTACGGATGCGCCGCGGCTGGCACAGGGAGCGGCCGCCTGCCCTGGTCCGGGAGGGCACCAGGGACAGGCCGGCGGGGCGAAGGCAGGGCTGGCGGGCACGGGCGGGGCGGTTGGCGGCCGCGGGCCCGGCGCCCGGCCTCCGCGGCCCGGGAGAAGGCAGGCGGGGGCTCACGCTCCACTTGCAGGGCGTGCGGTGCCTGGGGCTGGTGCTGCGCCGTAGCTCCTCGATCACCCTCCACTCGCCCGTTGTCGCGCTCTTGCGGCTTGGGGAAGGTGGACGCTGAGCAACATGATTGCAGGGGTTGATTGATGCGGAGATCGGCGGACGCGTGGCGCCGCTCCTCCATGCTCTCCGCGGTGCGCAGGCCACTACATCCAAGCGTTGTCCTCCACGATTGCTGGCCGCCCGCGATTCGAATAAACCCTCCAACCATCTTGAAGAAGTTGGGTCGTCCTCTTCTCCGCAAGCCTCGCAGTAGTGGCCGCCGCGGGCCACCGGCCCCGCGCCCGCATCGCCCGCGCCGCCGGCCGCTCCCCCGGCACGCCGCCCGCCGCCGTGCCGCCGGGCTTTCCGCGCCCGCCCAGCACGCGAGGCCGGCGGCCAAAGTGCGGGAGCGCCAGCCAGCTCGGCCAAGTAGCGGTACAATGCGGGCGGCCGCCAGAGGAGGAATCGGAGCGGCGGCTGCGCTGTCACAGGAGGCGCGGGCGCCAACCGCCGCCGCCTTTAACGGGCCGGGGGGGGCGGCGCGGGGAACGCTCCGCGCCTCCGAGCGCGCGTGCGCCCGCGGGCCGCGAGCCGCCCCCGGCGGGATTCGCGGGCCCCGTGGGAGGGGCGCGGAGGGGCCGGGCCGCGCCATCCCGCCCCGCGCAGGCCGCTCGACCCGGCCCGGCCCCTTCCCCCTTCCCTCCCCTCATTCCCTTCCCCTTCCTCCGGCACGGCCCTGCTTCCCCGCGCCGGGCGAGCCGCGCCGCTGCCCCGGGGCCGGGAGCGCTGCGGCCCGTGCGGAACCCAGCGCAGGTGGCTGTCACACGCTGCCCTTCAGCCGGGTGGGAAACGGGACCTGTCCGGGCGAGAGTGCAGCTGCGAGCGGGGCTGTGTCCACACCGAGCAGGGTACAGCGCTCGCAGGGAAAGCTGCCGGGATAGCCCGGCTTACCCACGTGTGTTTAGGTGCCCCCAGGCAAGAGGGGACAGAGGCTGCAGGGGGAGCTGTTGGCATGGCAGCTTTCTGGGAAACACCGAGGCACTGGGGCTGAAAGAGACCTCTGAGTTTTACCTGCTTTGTGTTGTCAGCTGTTGGCCTTTTGTTGGGTGTTGGTCTATTAAAATCTGTGGTTTTTATGTAGTTCGGGTATTTACATCTCTAAGACTATTGCTTTAAACTGTGCAAGGTCTGCTTTCAGAGCGTGGGCGACAGTGTGTTGTACTATTGAACCACGTTCGTTTTATAAGTATGGGTCATTTTCTGTAGGTTTGGGCCGCTAATTGGAAAATACAGTGGGGTGTTTCTCTTTTTAGGCTTGTGGGAGGCCCATGCCCTTAAGGCAGGAATAGCCAGGAAGTTGGTTTATCTCTATGAGAATCTCTCTAACCACTGTGGACATCCAAGGGCTGTGCTACAAGGCTTGTGGGCAAGTAGTTTAATGTGTATTTGTCAGCAGGAAGCTTAGTCATAGAATTTTTGAGCATACATTAACTCTTTGGGCAATTGATATTCAGTTTTTATCTTGATATAATGTGGTTGTCTGTCCCAAGATTCAAAAGAATTTGTCCTAAGGTCCACTAATAAGACTACTTCTTATCTGTAATGAGGATGGTTTATAACCAGCCTAAAGAACAGAGATCCTTGATAGTAAGCGATATGGAAAATAAAACAAGAAAGGAGTTTGTTCTTAGCCCGGTTTGTTCTTTGGATGTTCCCACAGGGCTTCAGAAACAAACTACTGATTTGCTTTTCTGTCAGTACTCTAGGTGGTTCATGGAAAAGTTCTATTTTGGTGTTAATTTTGAGGTCACAGGGTTGCAGTGTTCTCAGTGGTTGTATCAGCTTTGAGGTACTGTTTGATTTCAGTCATCTGCAGGTTCTCATTAGTTAAATCTCAATTTCTCTGCAAGTTCTTGAATTTTTCTTAGGAAAGAAGGTGGTGAAAGGTCTTGTGGCAATTAGTCCTTTTAAGCTAATTATTTTCACCTTGTTCCATTGGTTAGAATACCATTTCACATACACAAAGGTTAAATGAAAAATATGATTAGCCAGTTTGGTCAAGCATGTAGAGGTATATCTTAAGGTTAATGTGCTTAGTTCTTATTCTGCTTTCAGCTGTGGTCTCTCTGATTTACGAGCTTCACTTAATTATCAGCTGCTTGCAATATCAGGCTGTGTTTGCAGTACACATTTGGGGATGTATTTGAGACTAAGTAGGGAACATGATAGTAAAGAGAACCAAGTGGATCTCTACAGAGGTTCAATCACACAGCTGTATTTGGAGCAATGCAAATACACCAAAGCCACCCTCCCTTCTGAACAGGACTGGATTTTTGACTAAATATTCAACAAGCTCTGTGCTGAATGCTGAGAATAATTAAATCAGGATGTTAATTTTCTTAGCCTTTAAATGTTAAGATAGAAGATAACTAGGGAGTTTTGTTTGCACATTTTTATGACTGAAATAATGTGTACAGTTTACAGGCAGTTTACCAAACTCCATACCATATTTCTGTTTGATTCAAGTCCCTTCTGGAGACAAGAGGAATGACACTGCCTGAGGCTATCCAAGAAGAGCAACAGAAGTCATGTCATATACCCCATTCCAGTATTGTTATGTGGTAAGTGGTGAGCAGGTGAATATTGGTCAGAGAAAATTAAAAATAACATGCTTTAAAATGAGTTAAAGCAAGTATGAAAGTAGTAATTGAAATAATGAAAGAGGAACTATGTCATCTTTGCTCTTGTATAGCATGTGAGATGCCATCAGAAGATTCACATTTGAGTAGCATCAGTAAAAAACCACTGACTTCAATAATTTCATACTGGATGTTTGTCTTAGGCCTACATCTGAAGAGAGAGATACGTAGAGAAAACTCAATACCTGTGTGGTAGGAGCTGTCTGTATGATTCATGGACTTTGCAGCAAGGTCATATTCAACTGTGTGTACTTGATAGGTATCTGTTTCTATTTAAAATCTGTGAAGTATAGTTAAGGGACACAAACAAATTGATTTAATTTCCTAAGCTTCCTCTAAAATATCTTATATAGAAATGTTAACAGATTATGTTTATTATAGATAAGAACAATAATAAACACTGCATTGTGCCTTCCTAAAGCAATCTACAGTTTTCAAGATGTAAATTATCAATTTCATAACAAGTGGAGTCATTTTCTATGTGCCAGATTTTAAAGTTTTATTGAAAAACTGGAGCCCAATACTTTCTGCTTTAATTAATTATATTATTTGAAATATTAGCTATTTGAGATTATGTAGAAGACTAGCATAATCTTTTTCCTGTGTCTGACATCATTAATAATGGTATCATAAATGGAAGATGTGCTATTATTGAAATTAAAAGGTAATTTAGGTTCACCTTGGTGTTACCTATGAAAGTTTGGCAAAAACAGTCCCAGGATGGACTGATGCTGAATACTCTCAGAAGCTAGGATAGCTACTCCCAGCTTGCACCCCAGTCTTCTTACCAGCTGACCAAAAAAAATGAGAATAAGCAGAGAAGTGGCAAATGGGGGATTCTCACAGGGCTCTGAATAACTGTCTGACCTTCAAATCCAGGGGAACGATGGGGTTGCCTCCTGTCAGAGACTCCAGAGTTTGAATCCATTAGACAACATGCTCAGGAGAAAGTTGAACTGTACAGTGGGCAGAGAACAAGTTCCTCTCTGTGGTAAACTGTCTTCTGGGAAGAGGAATTGTTTTTCAAATAATCTGCAAATGGAATTAAAATTGTTTCAGCAAGCTTTGTTTTAAGCTGTCAGCCATATCAATCACCTAAAGCATTTGACAGTTCTTACTTACCCTTTCTTTAAAGAATTGATTGAGATAAATTCCAAATACTGGTAACACTTACATACAAAGACTTATTTTTCCCTATTGATTCCAGAAATAACGGGGCAAGTTGTAAATCTGAGGTTCTAGCCCAGTGGGATGATTTAGAATATTGTATGAGTCGAAGCAGGGTCTTGTTCACCTTGGAATTGCTGATGTGAGCAACTAGGTTTCCCTTTCTCATTTCACCCGAAATTGCAAAAAAATGCTTATTTTTTTTTGGACACAAGCGTTATGCTGTATAGCTTCATGTAGACCTTGGCAGTGTAACTAAATAGGTGAGAGCTGGGGTTGTTGTCTTATCCCAAACTCTGCTGCAGAAACTGTTCGTTCTCTGAGTCAACAGATCTCTGGACAGTTGCATAATAGTTCCTGTGAGAATGGGAGGATATGATCTGACAGGAATATTAACTGTAGTGCTGTTCACACATCTCTTGGCTGAGATCCTAGAGGGCATGCAGGTAAGCAGCAAGGATGTAGAACTTCACGGAAATCCTCTTGCATTGGACCTGACTGCATATTGTGGGAAAGTGTACTAAAATACTACCAAAGAGCAATCTGATTATTTTCCAGATCTTTAGCTTGAGATATTCTCGAGTTTCCTGGGCTTTATTTTCTGCCTTCACAATGCTTTAGAGTCAAACTTTGTGTATAATTGGTTTTGGCATGGCATGTGAAAACAGAGATGGCAGTTTCTTCATCTGCAGGAAAATGTACCAGCATTCAGTCTTCAGAGTAATGGTGGGTAATGTTGGTACAGCATTTGTTCTTTTAAAGATGTGTTGTTTTATAAAGCAAATATACTACGGCCTAAAGAGTCTAATGAATTATTAATGTAATCTGAGCTTAATTTAAATTCCAAATTTGTGAATAAGCTGTTATACTCTTAAGTGCCACATTTCTTGGTAATATTCTTCCCTTTTTATGCCAAGCCAGCACAGGAGTGAAATGAGGTGTGTGGAACAGTTTAGTTGTCTGGTTTCTGTGTTGCTAGAGGGCTGGCTCTGTAAGATGCTGTTAGAGGCAGCACGTGAATTAGGTGAATCCCAGCAAATTCCTTTAATTTGTGACTGTCTACATAAGCACTTGTACCAAATGAACACTTGACTAGAAATCTTCATTTCCATCACCTGTTTACAACCAGTTAGGTACTAAAGCTTATTAGAAAAGCATTTTTACTGGTAGCATAATTTATCAATACTTAGATCTATGGGTTTAGAGACTTTTCTTTCCTCTATAAATAGCTTTAGCTGCGTTCAGCCACATCAAAACTGGAGAGCAGTCTTGCAGGTTTTCTTCATTTGCTCCCTTTGCCTTGAGAAAAAAAAAAAAACAAATTTGGTGGTTTTCCAGGCAGGCTGCAGAAGTTAGATTTGCACATGCTGCAAATCTGAGATGTGCTTTCTGTAATACTGGGAAATTGGAGATTACTTCCTGTTGAGATAAAGACTTTAAACCTTTCAATATTTTGTGTTATTTATGAGACGTTTAGGTACCTGTCATCTGATTATTTAACATTTTTATGTATTATTTTCATTAAATTGATCAAATATAAGCTGTTAACATCATATGTAAATAGTAACTTTTTTGCTTGTCTGTAGCACTGTAAAAGTAGGGAGTGAAACTCATAATTGTACAAGTAAAGTAGGAAGCTCTTAGGTTTAGCCTAGTAGGGACTAGGCTAAAGTGAGTGTTTTTTTTACTAGAGGTATTGCTACAAAAATAATCTGTAGCTGAGCAAAATAATATTTAGATTTATTATTTAATCAATCATAAGATTTTTTTACTTTTCCAATACTTCTGCAACAAGATATTATTCTTATTTCAGAATTGTGGCAGTAGATTTATTAGACTATTAGCCAGAATGTGAATGTGACAGGGATTCCTAATTTTCTTAGTGAAAGGTAATTGAAAAACCCTCAGTAAGTGGACTAGTCTACCAATGGTTCAGAGCAAGTGTCAGAGAGCAGTTTTCTGAGCTTTTAACATGTTAATAATTCTGCTGCATGCATCAAAATATTGAATAAATTCTGCTACCTCCCTCATGAGTAAATATTTTTGATTACCGTGAAAAGTGGTGATGCTTATGTTTATTACTTTTAAAGACCTTCTGTCTCCATCTGTTTATATAGTTGCTGTGCATGATGACTGATGTTGCCAACTGGTGACTTCAGCTCTGTGACAGAGCAGATATAAAAAGCTCTTCATGTATACAGAGATAACGTCCTCATCTCCTGCTCAGACAGTCTATAGACATGCAAAAATTCACAGTGCCATATTTCAGTTCTGGTACTGTGAATATATGGCTAATAACTATAGCCAGATAATAAATATTAAATATGCTTTTTAATAATACATATTTCCTGTAGCCACCTGTGGTTTTCAGATAGGTAGGACAAAAAGTAACTTTCTGTGGGGGCTGTGGGTCTGACCCGAAGCTTACTGAAGTCAGTAACCAATTAATCTGATTTCAGTGACCTTTCCATCAACATGGCCCTTCATGAAGTGGTAGAGGCTTTTGTAGGTCAGTGTGAAGTCTTTTCCTTTCTCAGTTCCTGTATCAGTGAGAATGTGTTAAGGTAGCTGCTTTTGGCGTTGTGGAATCATCTTTAGCTTTTGCTTGGTGTTTCCTCATTTCTAATCTAAAAGACAAAAGAGGGCATGATACCAAACCCCTATATATTTGAGATTTCCATCTAGCTGTTAAATGGGTTTGAAATTAGCTGATGAAAAAGCTAGTAATGGGAAAGCTGACAGATATACAGGCACAAAAACTTCCCCAGGTGCACTGTGAGCATGCCAGCTTTGTTCCCTTGGATCAGGTTAGGAGGGGAAGAAAGTACTTTATCTGCTTATTTCCTGGAAATTATGTCTTTTAGAGAATTGCTGTCTATTAGACTCAACACAGCAAACAACAGAGAGTGTAAAGTGGTTTGCCAGGAGTGAACAAAGAAATAACATTTACAATTGAAATAGAGGGGTTTTTGCAACTCTTGGTGTCCTTGGCGGTCTGGCTGAAAATTATACCTGAGATCTTACCAGCCTGCAGTCACAGCATCAGAGACTGCAAACCAGTTTTTTCTTGCTTTAATACTCAATTGACAATCAGAAGTTGTTGACATAAATGTAGTGTGTATTGTTTAAATAACAAACATTAAAGTTCTTAGGAACTAGAGGATACTAGTCCCCTGTAGTGCTTTTGCTTGCGTTTCTATTCGCAAAATCAACTTTAGCCTCTGTCACTTTGGAAGTGTGGTTATGGAAATCAGTATTGTTAAAATATGTTTGAATGCTTAATCCTTTGTAAAATGTGTTGGTGGGTAAGCTCAGATACAAAGAATTAAGAACTGCCACTTAAGTTTGTTAGTACAGTAGAAATTGGCTGATATTTTTCAACACGTTTGGATTTCCTAAAAAAAAAAACAAGAAAAAAAATCCCTGGTTATGCTGGATGTAAAAATGTATATCTGTTATCTTTTCTTAGTTATCTTTCACAGACACCAAGATTGTTCATGGTGCCCACTGGATGTTGAGATCAGCATAAAATGTCACTGTTGTATAGCTCATCCCAGAGGAATCTCAGAATGGGAAAATAGGTCAGAATAAGAAATAATTTCTGTTTTAATTAAATTGTCCTATCTTGAGCACACTTGAACAGTTTTTTGGAAGCGCTGTATTTAAAAGAAGGTAAACATTTTTCTATCCTTTTGTTCTGTCTTCTAGATAAATGGCTTGGTTTATTAATAATATCCTATGTAAATTGAGTTACATATGGTCCTGTTAGATGTATAGCCGTGCAGTGCCAGACATCAGTGCCAGTTTATGGAGTTGTGGAAAACCTGCACAGACAAGATCTGTGCATCCTGGAATGTTTTCTAGAGGGATTGCTGCTGTCATTGTTTCCTGGTGCTGGTGTGGGAGCAGTGGGCACCTTAAGGAGTAAGGCTGGGATGGGCCACGTGTTGTCCAGTGCCAACATCCAGAGATGACATGAGAACAGTTTGAAATTCCTGCTCTAAACCCTCAGTACCACCTCAGAATCTGACTTAGATAAACATTTCTTTTAGCTAACAAGCTGAAGATTTTGTGCTGCTCAAGTTTTTCTTGATTATTATTTATTGTCTAATCTTGTCAGTGTTGGCAAGATAATGTCTACTTTATCTGTTCTGTTTGAGCTCTTTTGTTCTTTCCTTTGGAAATCAGTGTGTTGAAGTTAAGTTTATTTTGAAATACCAGTAAGGTAGAGTCTCTGCATATAGTTGGTAACAGATTTTCTGATTTCAGAAGGACTAATTTATTGTGGTCTTCTGAATAAGTGAGTTAAAATCACCATGGAATTTGTAAAAGCTTATCCTGATTTCTTTTGTCTTATCAGTTTTCAGATAAGCCATGTGTTTTTCTTTAGTTTAGTAAAGGAACATTAACTGGCAGTCTAAATAATGCATGCTTTTAGATTGTTCAGTTACCATTAGAGATCAATTTTCTTGACTAGAGGATGCTTTGTGTTCATCCCAGGTTTGTAGGCTACATTATCACCGTGTCAGTTACATAAATAAATGTAACATTGGGCTATATAAGCGGAAACTGAGCTTCTTCCTCATGTGACAAAAACCTCATGAAAGTAATAGAGGCGAAGGAGGAAGAAAGAAACCAGTCTCCTTCACTGTTCTGTTCTCCCAATAGACTTAACGCCTCACCTACCAGTGAACCCAGACCTGCAGAGCAAGTCCATTATTGTTATTTAGTTATAGGTGTAATTTATTCTTGTTTATTACGCTGCTAATTCTGTGAAGGTTATTTTAAGTCAAAGAAATTAATGGACCTGTTAACTGAAAGGAAAAAAAAAAAGGTCTGTTATTTGGCAAAACACTGTACTCATCTTTTTTTTCCCCAAGGTGAGTTCTGATGTCACAGCAGAATATACCTCACTGCCTCAGGACTTAAAGTAACTCGTAACATTTTTGAAAACTAAGGCTTAGCCATGTGGGTATGTTCTACAGAACACTATATAAGGTAAGAGAGAACCTCTTTCAAATAGTGTATGAGGTTCAAGAACTAAATTGTGTTAATCCCAACTTTGAAGCATTTGATTATTTTGTGCTGATGTAGGTCAGCACATGATACCTCAAGCAGGGAACAAAAGCAGAGGAGGACAATAAATCTGGTGTTGTGGGTAGAGGGAGAAAGTTGCAGATATAGAAATGGGATGACCAAGGATGGTACATGTTAGAATCTCAGCAGGTAAGCTGAAAAGCTGAGGTGAAAAGGATAGTTTTGTGACAATGCAATGTTTAAGGTATGAGTATGTGATTCACTAAGTTCTCCATTTGTTTCCATTTACTGTGCAAGCCAAAGTAAATTACTTAACCTCAGTTCCCATGAGAAAAACAGATGATGATAATTTCCCCCCACTTCTTAGAAGTATGGGAAGGACAAATGCATAAAGTATTGTTTGGAATCGAGCTGGTTGTGCAAACTTGCACGATCCACACATCTGAATGAATATAGGCCAGAAATTACAGAGCACAGGCAGTATTTATTTTTAAGGAGAAACTTCTGGAATTTGCTTTTCTAATAAACTAATACAGTTTTTCTTTCCTGTCCCACTTGGGTTTTCTCAAGAAATACAGGAAAGTCTTAGATTATTTTCCAAAGTGATAAGTAAATTTCTTCTTGTCTTGAATGTCTATTCTTTATATTAATTTTACTCATTTTTCTCCTTCTTAGGAACAGAAACAGTGAGCTCTAATGGAACTACAGGTCATTAATTTTATGTTGAAGATGATGAAAAATAGAAGTTATATAGGCTTTTCCAGGTTCTGTTGGATTAAAAGAATCCATAGAAATTAGTGTTAGAGAAACAGGCAGCAGTTCTCTTGGAATGACAATATCTGTAGCTGCATCCATAGCTACTTTAATGTGTCTGTTTGAATAAAAAGAATGATTGTCAAATATATTATTTACGTGTTTTGCCAGCAGATTTAATTTCAATTATTTTCATACTGTATGCTTCACGTGTCTGGAGAGAAATCAGACTTTCAGCAAGTCTTTATCCAGCAAATTGGATAATGACAGGTGAAGAGTAGGTGATATAACTTGACCTGTGGCTATATTTGGTTATAAAAATTTCTAAAATGCCAAGTAAGGTGGAATTACTCTGCAAACAAAGGAAATAAATACTGGGGTTGGCACGAGTTCTTTGGGAATGTGCCAGTCTAGATATGATTGTGCTTTTTTGCTGAGAATGTCAGATCAGCTTGCTTAAAGCAGTGTAGTTTTTTGAGCTTTGTCTACACTTGGTTTTGCTCTTGGTCGTGGTGCTTTTTTTTCTATTTTGCCACCCTAGACCATAAAAGAATACAAAATTGAGATAAGATGGACAAAGGTGACTTTATCTAATCTGTAACTGCATGGACTGCTAGCTCTAATTGACTCCTTGAGACTGTAGACATTGCAGCTGGGCTGTTCCACAGCTTCCTACAGATCAGTCAAGATCAAACCTCTCACTGCATCAATTCTTGTAAAGCACTGTGAGTTCTAAAGATCAATGACAAGCTTTCTTCTAATAGTTCAGCTCTTGACATTTAGTTCTTGACCTGAGAAGTCAGTATTTCCTTTTTAGGATAATAGGATAGGACTACCCTTGAAGTATCCTGAGTACTGTTATTAATGCAAAGCGTGGTGGCAAATTTTTGTCATGGAGCCTGGAATGACACTGGAAATCTAATGTAATGTGCAAAACCCTAAGTAACTTTTAAATTGGAATTACTTTAGTCCACACTGAACTGTATTCTGATTTATATAAGATGAGCAATTGAGAATTTGAAAGTATGGGGTTTGAATAACTATTGAATAACTATTCAAGTTGGGTTTCCCCACCTCTTTCTAAAATACTTATCTTGGCTGCAAGAGTGTGGTTTTCCATACTTTAAAATTACCTGGATATAAAATGTAAGTACTTATTTTTTAAACACTGTGCTTCCCAAGTTAAAGGGATAAGCATAGGTAAAGGGACTTGACAGTTGGTTCCCATTTGGGATTAGAATTTAAACTTCCTTTTGGGTTGGAAAAGTAACACTTATTTGTTTGCCATATTGAGAATGGATCATCAAGTAACATCATAATGTGTAAAGGAGTTAAAAACTACACAATATTGTTACACAGTTCTTAATTCTTATTATGTTACCTCTTCCCTCTTCTATATTTGGCTTTTTTAATGAAGAATGCAATTTAAATGGACATTGCTTTGGATCCAGCTTCATCAAATCAAATTCTTGCACTTGCTTCTTTTGAAACTTTCCATCCATGCCCTTATTAATTTTTTCTCACTGTGATCAGACTGTTCAGTTTTCTGCATGTTTTTTCCCTTGGCAGCTGCAGTTCATAATATATTGTATAATATTGTAATGTCATACAAGTGACATGAGAAAAACACGTCAATATTTTGATTCTCACTTGTGTCTGAATACCTTGTATTTACTGAATGAATACTAACTTTGAGGAATATACCTTCAATTATTTTTTAATCTGATTTCAGTAATATAAACTGAATCGCCATTTGTTGCTTTTTAGATTTGTCCTGACAAATATGATATCTTAGCAGTTTGGTTTTATGTGTTTTATTTATCTCAAATTTTTCTTCTGCTCCAGTGTTTCATAAAAAAAGTTAACATGAAATATTGCCATATTTCACTTAATGCTTGCTGTGTGTGCATGGCTTCTAAGCTGCCATTCTTTTGGATGATATATTAGTTTTACCTGCAAGATAAAGATTGTATATATATGTGGTGTTAACATCAGTATAGTTCTTGCAATGCAATGTCAGGTAACTCAGAACATTACCTAAGACAGAACAAACTGTACTGCTTGTTGAAATTCTTTCTGCTCTGTTGTAAAGGTTGCTAATCTCTGGAGAAAGATAATAGATCACATGTTTTTTGCTTTTTCTGCTTTGTCTGCTATTTTAAAAATCTTTTAAAGTTAAGCTCATATAAACAGGTTTTACTGCGAAATTTATGGGAAGGACAAAACCCATATGTACTTACTCATTTCCTGTCATATATCCAATACTACAATAGCTGATTATTTATATTCTGTGTACTTCCTGACACAAGCAAGTAAAATCTGGAGTTACTCAAGTCATTAGCTGAATACAATGAGTACTTTGATATGGAATGGATACCAAGTTCCCTGTGTTTCTTCACCTCTCTGCATTAATCATAGTTTATTTTACCCCTGATTTTCCTCTTTTATGCTTTCACAGAGTGTAAAGTTCACGTGTGTGTGCATGGCACTGAAGTCACAAGTCACACATAGTAATTTTGTGTAGAGTGTGTCAGTTGACATCCAATAAGGGCAGGTTACAAGGCTGTTCAGAGCTACTTCAGTACCAAACTCATTTGTGTGTTGGGGCATTAAAAAGAGCTGTTCAGAAAAAGATAGATTCCTGACATTGACACTGCCACTTCTGTTCTATATGAAAACTTCTCCCTTGTGTTTTTTTAAATATTTTTAGAAGGCTGCTGTGATGTCAGCTTTGTTTGACAGTTCACATGGGTGTGTGGTAAAAATTATGCCAGTGTACTAGTACCCACATTGGCCTTGTGTACACTATCAGTCCTGTTGTTTCTCTTCTAGTAAAGATCAAGTATAGAATTTGCAACATGTGTCAGACAGGAAAAAAATTGGATTTGCAAACAGGATTACAGTTCCAGTACACAAAGTATTAAGTAAACTATGAGGTGACCATGTCTTAAATCTCTACTCTTTCGGTGTTATATTGCAGAAGGAGGCAATTTATAGTTTTACTTCAGCTTGGAGCAGCTTCTGGAGGAACACAAATGGGTGAATAGATAAAAGTTTTTAGTTTCCATCCTTGCCTCTTCATACTTCAGGAGCTTTGAAAGTTACACAACTTGAAATTTCGTGGTTCTTGCATGTATTTGTGGGGTTGGTTCTGTCAGCATAGTTGGGTGGTAAGACTGATCATCTGGAGTACCAGCTTCTCTCCAAGAAAGGTGCTTTCCTCCAGGTGGGTTGCTGGTGTGTGTGAACATGTGAAGACTGCACATACTTGGCTGGACTTTCTCCCACAGCACAGGATGGAAGAGTTAGGGTGGGCAGGATTGTGTAGTACTGCAAGTGATAAAAACACTTGTAAAAGTTATTGAATTAAAGGCATCTGAGTGAAGGTACTCAGCAATAGTCGTAATAGCACAGTACAGATAATAATTGAGTTATTGCCTCTGAAAAAACAGTGAGGAAAATGATGCACCTTTGCTGAGAATACATGTACAAGAAAGGTGTTTATCAGGGGTTACACTGTTGTGCACTGCTGTTACACCCTGTGACTTAGAACAGTAGAGGGAGACCCAAGATGACTTGTTACACTGTACCTTGAGTTTTTTTAAATCTACTTGAGGTGTTTTCAGACAGCTCAATTACCATGGAAAAGGGTACAGGCCATATAGATGAATGCTTCTGGTAATTAATTAATGCGCTTTATTCACATTTTGTTCGATTGTGATGATTAACTTTTCTGGGCATAGTAGGATAGAAATTGTAATCTACAGTTTTTTGAGATATAATCAATCAAATTACTTTTAATAACTAGTCTAAGTGCATTGCTGCCTTCAAGTGTGAGAGAAAGTTACCTCTTTCAAATAAGGAAATTTGCATCTAAAAGGCACCTTTGGCTCAGTCAGCTGTGTTGATAGTTACTCAGTGTTACCTGTTCCCTATTAAAGCTTAACCAGTTTGCTAAACCAACATCTATCTAAACTATTGAAATGTAAAGGCTTATATATTAAAAAGCTAATGCTAATTTCCTGTATGTCTCATATCTTATTTTTTTCCTAGGTAAATGCCAAAAGACTTGAAAATGTTCTTTTTGTTTCCAGAAGATTCACTGTAGTTCTCTCTCTCTTAAAATACTCAGAATTTTTTCTCTTGGTTTCCTGCAGTACCCTAGTAAATTAACAACTTTACTCCTTAGCTGTAATACCTGTGAAAGA